TAGGGAGGGGTAAGTGGAAGGAGGTGAGGGAGAAATGGGGTACGAGCCCCCGATGGGGAGGACTAGGCTGGCTCTGCGGGCTCCTCGGGGTGGAAGCTCTCCTGAAGCCCCTTGATTGACCCCCCCTCCGGATGGCAGCCTGCGGCAAATGCAGCTGGACTGATGGCCGAGTGCTGTGATGTGCCCAGTGTGGGCACTCAGGGCACTCCAAGGCAGGACTGCTTTGCAAGCAGGGAACCCCTGAGAACTGTCTGTCTGGGGTGGGGGTTGGGTCCCTTTATGCACAGCCCTCGGCTAGCCTGAGACAGCAGCTCCACGCTCCAAGTCCTAATCTGATGCCCTGCCGGCACTGCTTCTGGCCATCCTTAATCTCAGTTCAGGGTCCACTCAGTGTGGACATGCTAGTTCGAATTAGCAAAACGCTAATTCGAACTAATTTTTAAGTCTAGATGCGCTAATTCGAATTAGCTTAGTTTGAATTAAGCTAGTTTGAATTAGTGCTGTAGTGTAGACATACCCCATTAGAGTAAGGGGACTGTATCGACATTACTCGGAGGCTCTAAGAGTAGCTCTTGAGCCCTCTCTGAACTGCACACCTGCGCAATACATTTACATTAGATTTCCTCATTTGAGGAGCAGCTACTCACTGAGCAACAGCACAGGTGAGTAGCTGTAAGGAATGGTGGGATTTTTTTTTAAAGTAGCAGTATAAGGATTGGGGATAGCAAGTAATGGAAAGGAGGAGCATAGAGAGGGCGGGGCTTCAAGGAACAATGCCTTCCCCGCGATGGAGATCAAGGTCTCGTTATTCCGATCATCGCGAACGGTATCACTGTTACCATCGGGAATCATCATACAGATCTCGCTCACCAAGCTACTCCCCGCCTAGATCTTATCATAGGGGGTATGCCAGCAGATATTCCTCGCGAAGGTCGTCCCCTGACCACTTTGATTATAGGAGCCATCGATCATCCTCTGAATACGGAAGACCTCACTCTCGTTCTCATCAGTGCTGCTGCCACACTCCTCATGAGGCACGATAGTCATCTCCAATTCAAGACTGGAAGAGGGCATCGCCTCATCAACAGAGGAGCCTGAGGAAGGACAAATCTCGGATACAGACGATCAACCGCAGACTGTATCTCCAAAAGATATTTTGTCATCCTCCCCACACGATGCAGTGTTTGAGGGGGATTCCTCTCCTCCGGACGACACAAAAGAATTTCAGGATCTTTTTAGGAGGGTAGCCCAGTCTCAGGACGTCCAGCTATCAGATATTCTGACGAAAAATTCAAGCTCTGGAGAAATTTATATCCTAAACAACAATCTAAGGTTGCTCTCCCTATGGATGAGGCAATCCTCCAATCAGCAGCAGAAATTTGGCATACCGCGGCTTCGACTCCTCCAACTTCAAAACGGGCAGAAAAACGTTATTTTGTGTCATCTAAAGACTCAGAATTCCTTTTTACTCACCCGCAGCCAAACTCCTTGGTCGTTGACGCAGCTCTCCAAAGGGCTAAGAACCCACAGCTGAAAAATGTGGGGGCTGATAAAGAGGCAAAGAAATTGGATATGTTTGGCCGAAAGGTTTATACATCGGCCACATTGCTTCTTCGCATAGCGAATTATACAGCTCTATTGGCGAATCATAGCTAATCTCCTACAGTGGGGAGCTGTGTTGGTAATTCTGTATCAGAGAAAACTGTTTCGCTGAGGAAGTCCCGGTAATACTGTGATCTCCAGGCATAAGTGGATAAGTGGAGTAAACCTTTTGTTCCCTTTTACTTTGTAGCCAGACAGCCCCCCCCATCTCAACCAATCTTGCTTGCCCTCTGAGATGTCTGTATACAGGGCAGAGAAGGAACAATAAGAAAATCAGCATAGCCATTAAGCTTTGATCTGCTTTGATGCGAGATCAGGATATGCGAGTGTTCCCTGACTCTGAGTAACGATTAAGGCAATAAACTGAGCTCGAGGCTGCAAGAAGTGCCCGGCTGGTACCCATGTTGATTCGAACACACACAGTCCCTGGGAGAGGAATTTCCCACTGAGAAAAAGAATGCCCAGTACTTCCAATTTAATCCTCTCAACTCTCTCTTACAAGTGTAAATTAAGTTCACAACTCCCTTGTAAGAACTGGTCTCACAAAGACAGACCAGCACCATTTGGCATCACAGATAAGAAAGAGAAATACGTGACCCAATGGGTATAAAAGTGGGTACAGCAACGCACTCACTTTGAGTGTCAATCTACCCTCTACCTGCTGGTCGGGTTAGGTGTTTTGACCTCCCGAGGTTCCACGGGGACGCCCTCCTCGTATTTTCGTCTTTCTGAGGAATTGAGGGACCGATCCTGGCCTGACACGCTGGGACTGAGCGACGCAGAAGAGGGTAAAAATTGTACCCGTATGTGTCCTTTTGTTTTAGTGCATGCATAGAATAGAGCTCTTTAAAGATTAAGCTGTCATTTGGTACCATTATTTTTCTATTTCCTATCTTTATTTTTCTTTGTAACCATTTTTTTTAAAGATCTATCTCTATATATATACATATATACTTGCCAGCAGTTAAGAAATAGAACAATAGCCATTGTAACCATATGATTTATAAGCTTCCTCAATAAACCTGTAACTGTTTAAGTTTTAACCTGACTCCTTCAGTTGCTGTAACAGAACCAGGCACAATTTAAAAGAACTTCAGCCGGTCATTAGGGACAGATATAGGGAGAGCTTGGGCGTTTGGATTTGTGTCACACCCAGGTGGCAGAATCCACTGGGGCACCTTTCAGTCTATCCCCAAGGCTGACCGCTGTGAAGGAATTACAAATTCTAGCAGCTGAAATCTAAGGTGTTATAAGCTCTCCCTGTACACTTATTGGGCACCCGTTAGCCTCCTCCAGGTTGCCGGCTGCAAGGGACCCCGGTCTCAGCAGTTAAAGTCTCGGGTGTATAGAACATACACAATGCCCTGACCGTCGGCTGACATATTTTCAAGCTGTTGCTCCATATGAGTTCTGTTTTCAGACACTGTAAATATCTATCTTTTATGACCAGCTCTTCAATATTTCTAAGCAATTACCGAGCCCCCTTTATCTCCATGATGCTGATTAATTTTTTGTCTTTAAAGCCCCGATTCAGCAAAGCACTTAAGCATCTGCTTAAGAGGTTTGTTAATTAGAGATACAAATGCTCACATTATTAGCCATCCACATAATCTATTATGTAACATGTAATTAGATACTGAAATGAAACAGTCTGCATTATAATTCTCTGTGTTCTTTACCAAGAATGATGCTAGCTTTTTATACAATTTACACATTTTATATCTAGTACCATGTAAAATGTATTACTGCTTAATACTAAGTATATAATATAATGAAGAAAGCTTTAAATCTTCTATATTTGATCCTATTGTATGATGCTTCCATAAAATCCTTTATATTCCAGGTATGAACTTGGAGATGCACTGTACTTAGGCTGGGCTGGGTCGATTCTGTCTATGCTTGGTGGGATCTTCTTGACTTGTTCATGCAAAGGGGGAAAAAGAAGAAAGCACAGGTAGCTCTTCAGCTTAAAAGTCAAAATAAATGATACACTTCAATCAGTGCCAGTTTATGCATAGAAAGTGGGTTTGTCTCCAATCATTCACCTCTGTATTGTGTAAATGCAAAAATTAGAGGCTCAGTCTGTCAATTCAGCACTGAGTCTTGCCATAAACTTGTGGGCTGTGTCTAGAATGGCCAGTTTTTCCGGAAAATCAGCCGCTTTTCCGGAAAAACTTGCCAACTGTCTACACTGGCCGCTTGAATTTCCGCAAAAGCACTGAATTCCTACTGTAAGAAATCAGTGCTTTTTGCGGAAATACTATGCTGCTCCCATTCAGGCAAAAGTCCCTTTTGGGCAAAAGGGCCAGTGTAGACAGCTGAGATTTGTTTTCCTCAAAAAAGCCCCGATCGCGAAAATGGTGATCGGGGCTTTTTTGCGGAAAAGTGCATCTAGATTGGCCACGGACGCTTTTCCGCAAAAAGTGCTTTTGCAGAAAAGTGTCCATGCCAATCTAGATGCTCTTTTCCGCAAATGCTTTTAACGGAAAACTTTTCCGTTAAAAGCATTTCCGGAAAATCATGCCATTTTAGACGTAGCTGTGATGTAAGCATGCACACCTTTCATGCTATCCTTCTTCCTTCTGAAACTGGCCTGTTAAGATTTGAAATCAGTTTTATACTTTCTTTGTACTGGTAAAGCTACAATACAGATCTTTTAAGTATATTTTGTATTATGGTTATAGCACTATAATTTTCTAATAATATTGTTTCACTACCATTAAAAAGATCTAATTCCATTTATTTTGCAGAAAATAAATTCCTTTTTTCCCAAACCAACTGATACAGCTTAAGACATTCTAAGAGGTTTTTATTTCATCTTCTGTTCTTTTAGAAAGGTTTGTTCCGCAATATGTCAGAAAAATCAAGAATTCTGGCCTATTTATCCTTTTTCATTTGAAAATATAATTGTTATTTGAGATATGTGCAGCAACTGTTTGGTATATGGTTCCTGTTGTCAGAAACAGAAAAGGTCTGTGCAACCTTGAAATAGTCCTAGAAATACTAGGACCAAAGTACTTCTAAACCATGTTCATTTAAACCTTAAAAATGGGGATGCACACAGGGAAGAAACACTTTGGAAGATGCTTTACTTAAACATTAAAAAAAGCTGCGTGGGAACAGCTACTGAGGGACAGTTTTTCTCTGAGCATGATACAGAATATGGTTCAAAGCCACTGAAGTTGATGGACAAATTTCAAATGATATCATGGGGGCTTTTGGATCTGATCCATCGTGCATTGACTCACCAATTTTCCACATGATTTTAGTAAATCCTTCAGTGAAACCTAGTGCAGAATTTAAAACTCTCCACTAAGGATGAGTGATGAACAGTGTGGACCCAATATTCTTTATTTTGTTGTTTTGTGTTTGACAAAATCAATTTAACTGGTCTAAGCAGCAATGACTCTGGAGTCTTTATTTACACTAGTTGTATTTTTTAAAGACCATGAAGATGTAGTGTACTTAATTATTTACAGTTCATTTTTCTTAATTACAGTGACGGCAAATATGACTACTCAGCTGGCCAGGCAGTTCATCAGCCACGTATTTACACCAAAAATTCTGATGTAGTCATGACATCTAAAGATTATGTGTAAACTCTTCTTTTATTTTTTAATTGTTTGTATGTTAACATCTTGTTAATCCAAATAAAAAGATAATTTTTTGACTGTTCTAGTTCAGGTTGCAAACTTTATCTCAGTATTGAGGTTGTTATATGCCTTATTACTTCCTTTTGGGAACATTTTGAAAATGGAAACAGTTACATTTCTGGAAATATATTGCCACATGGAGACTTCCTGTTCACTGACAAACCAAGCAAAATGAAGCCATAATGTATAGCTTGACAACAAACAAAGAGTGACTATTACTCTATTTTTGACTGGCTCTAAGTGTGAAACTGACATGCTGCAACTAATCACAGCTTAATAAAATTACAATGTTGTAAAGCTTACTATAATTTTTTATGGATACTTTGGCTTTTTATTTTATTTTTTTTTAGAATGTGTTAAGTTTTAATGGGAACTAGGCATTATCCTTTGAGTGATTTGCAGTTCTTAATTAAAGTTGTTATGGCCAGTGTTACTACTTGTTATCGTATATGCACTTAAAGACATGGTTTTTTGATATTCACATTCTGTCTAGTTCAGAGGTTCTCAAACTCAGGGGTGCATGGAATGTATGTAGAGAGCAGGGCGAGAGACGCTTTAAGATAAAAAAATTTACTGTGAACATTTTACCCTCAACGAATAACTAGCAAAGCTGATTCCACCAGGCATATTAGATCTTCAGATGTCCAAGGGGTATCTGTGTTAGTCTGTATCTGCAAAAACAATGAGTCCTGTGTCACCTTAAAGACTAAGGGTATGTCTACACTACCTCGCTAGTTCGAACTAGCGGGGGTAATGTAGTCATCCGCAGTTGCAAATGAAGCCTGGGATTTGAATTTCCCGGGCTTCATTTGCATGAAGCCAGCCGGTGCCATTTTTAAATGCCGGCTAGTTCAGACTCCGTGCCGCGCGGCTACACGCGGCACGGACTAGCTAGTTCGGATTAGGCTTCCTATCTGAACTAGCTGTATGCCTCGTGGAAGGGTGTGGGGGATGCTGCAGCATCCCCAGGTTTTCCACCTGGCTTCCCTGCACTTAGGGGCTGGCCTCGCCACTGGCCCTACCATCCCCATCTACTGGCCTCCACGTGGCCCCTCTGGGGTCCCACTGGCTGCAAATTCTGGCCTCCACGAGGTCTCTCAGGGGTCCTGCTGACCCCGCCAGCTTCAGTACCTCTTGGAGTCCCGCTGCCCACCAACCCTATGGGCTCTGCAGCCTGCCATCCAGTGGGGGGCAGACTACTGGTCCTAGAGGCTGGGCTGCCCCCAAAGTCCTGCTGCCAGCCCTGCACTTTGCATCCACCTCCAACTTGGCTGGGCTGGCC